AATATGGTACAGACAGGCGTTCAATGGGGCAAGAATAGCTACTATTGTTGCCTGATTGATTTTCCAATAGTTCTTTTTTCACGTTTGGATAATATTTTTTCACTCCTACAATAGGGCTCCCTATTGGTTATTTACAGCGATGCATTATGCTAACAATGTAAATTAACGCACTTGTCATTGGACAACGTTAACCCTATCTAGACCAGGGGGGGGGGCTAAAAGTGCCCGCGCCAACTTTGATGTCACGTAGCGTCTGAACGGCTAGTGCTAGAATGACCAAACTTGGTGACTTTTCCTAGAATATTGTTGGCAACAATTCTGTGTCATTGGAAAAAGATAATAATTTTTGTGTTGCCATGGCAACGGGTTTCTGACAGGCATTTTTTGCTAAATTTAGTAATTTTAGTTTCAACAATAGAATTTTATGGGTTTTATGTCAATTTACTCATGGTTTTTAATATTAATAACATCCCAGATAATTAAATGTAAATTTTATCATTAAATATGCATAATTTATGCTAATTTGATGACGTCATTGGCCAAAATCCAAGATGGCGGACCATATCATTAGAACAGGTATATACAAGTTATTTTCCTTAAAATTTCATCAATACTTCCATTTCTTTTTCCAAAAAAGGTTTAAATGAAGGTCTTTGGTATGTTTACAATGTATTTTAGGCTTTATCACGAAAAAAAAATATTTTTGAAAATTCAACATTGATGATCCAAGATGGCTGATATCTTAAATATGTATGACGTCATTTTATGACGTCACCGGTGTTGCTATGGGCAACATAAGACTTAGTACACTCTAATATTCTGTCATAAACACTTTTGGTAAAGTTATGTTGAATACCATTTAGTTTTCAGGGAATAGCCTATCTAGACGGTTTTGGCCAATAAAATCCCATTAATGACGTCATATTACGTCATAATGACATCAAAATTGTAGATATGATAAATTTTAAGTAGTACACCATCCTCTGAAAATTTGGTAGCCATACGACATACCGTTAGCGAGTTCTGAGGGGGGGGGGAAAGAGCCCCCCCCCCCCGGTCAAATCTTGCTCAAAAAAGCCCGGTCTAGATAGGGTTAAGTGGGATATAATTAATTTGTTAAACATCTGCCAGCGAAGTACCCAGAGCTAAGTCAAACATACTCAAGTATCAAAATCGAAGTTTAAATAATTGGGATTCTTCAAATGATTTACATTGCTAATTACCTTAAGATCCATTACTTCCCATTAAGTTAAATCATGTTTAACTGTACATACTAGACACAACCATGTTATATATGTAAATTTGCAAAGCCCATCCATGTTACAATGTTGTAATGGATTTTAGGTCTGTTGGCATGATCATCAACTTTCTGAAGGCAATACTTTACAAAATATTAGACGGTACAAATGCATCGGTCTGTTTTAACCCTAAACAGTACACCTGGGGTCCGCGCGGACCCTAGCACTATATATTCTGTAATATCTTTTTGTTTCTAAAGATTTTTTTCTGAAATTTTAGGTAATTGTCACCCACAAAGTTGTCTCTCAATACAGTGCAGAAAACTCCGTTTCTACCATTTATAAAAAAATTATATCTGTTTTTCTTTTGGGGTCCGCGCGGACCCCAGCCGGCTTTCGATCATAATGGATACACTGGCGTTCTTATACATTACTTTATTTCCGTTTTTATATGTTTTTATGCACTCATCGTATGTCTACCAAGTTTTCAGAAAATGGTGTAGTACTAGAATTAAATTTTGTTAACTTTGGTGTAATTATGACGTCATATGACGTCAGAGCTAATAATATAGTCCGCCATATTGGATTTTGACCAATGACGTCATCAAATTAGCATATTCTATGCATATTAAATGATTTAACTTTTATTTAATTATGTAAGATGTTATTCATGTTGGAAAAGAAGTGTAATTTAATATAAAACTCAGAAAATTTTTATGTTTAAACCAAAATTACTTTTCAAAAAAACTGCCTGCTAGAAACCCGTTGCCATGGCAACACAAAAAAACATCAACTTACTAGTATTAAACTAATATGAACTTTTTTCCAGAGACATTTTAGGAAAGGTCTCCAAATTTGATACTTCTAGCGCAAGCCGTTTAGCCGCTATCTGAGATCAAAGTTGGGCCTCAAAAGCCCCTTCAGTCCGAAATGGGTTTAAAAATCGGGTATTTCTTCTTGTCTTCTTTTCTTCACCAAAAAATAGAAAAAGTTCAAAATGTATGATTTTTGTATGTAATGTGGACACAGAGGTTTCCACATCAGTTTGCAAAACAATTGAGCTGGTAGCATGTTGATAATTTCTAAAAATTAGCAAAAAACTGTTCTGGGGTCCGCGCGGACCCCAGGTGTACAGATTAATCAGTCCGGGAAGGTGTACTGTTGAGGGTTAAATAAAAATGGTTTAAAAGACTCACCTGTTCCATCGAACCTGGCGGCGCCATTTTGACCCGTTGCATGGTCGATCGAGACGCCCCCTTGCGGCGTTGCGTGAAATGCATTGCAATGGTCCTTGAAATCGTTGTCCAGAGGGTAGTAAGCAAGTATCCCAGGTTCACAATCTTTTCAAGCAATATACACAATACTATTATGATTACACTCAGAACGATTTGATTTGATTTATTAGGCTGCATAAGACATATGTATACAGCCAGGACTGCCCAACTAGCCGGAGGCTATTATAAAGGGCTAGCCCTCACAACAATAACATAAACAATTCGGAACAGTTAACAGTTAACAGTGTCAGTTACACTTCAGATAAGCATACTATTACATAACAGATGTTGCGGCCAAACGTTAACAAGCTATGAGATCCGGCCTAGTCGTCGTGTGTTTACTACAGTTACAATGTGTACTATATTTACATGTCAGGTTAACATACTATTGCATAACAGATGTTGCAGTCTAACGTTACGTTAGGGTTAACAGGTTATAAAAATTGGCCAAGACATCATGCATTTACTATATAATTACGTTGTGCACTATATTTACATTGTCAATACAATTCTATTGAACTTTTACAGTTTTACTAAGTAATTGTCGTCAAGTATTTATCAAGTATTGTCCATAGTTTGTTTTTAGAGGAGCTGATGGATCGGGCTGTACGGGTTTCTCTAGGGAGAACGATAAAAAAAGGTTCGAGGAGTATTTGATGTAAACGGATTTGGAAACGCAATTTGCAAATTGCCTTTTAAAACATTGAGCTTTTAAGTAGTGATTTTAGTGACAAATCTTTGATCGAAAAGCAATGATGTTTTAAGACATTTAGAAAATTGTACCAGTTTGATGAAAGAAGCTGTTTCTCAGACAGCCCTGCACACACGACTCCAGCTGGTCCAGAGTTCCGGTGAGATGGGAGTTTTCCTCTTGAAGATGAGCGCATTGATCCTGTGTGAAGGAATAGAAGTGGCAAGAAAACTCATCACAGTTAGCGGTGACGACTAAGGATGCTAAAAGATATTTGGTGCGTTAAAAATTCCGTTGATACTTATCTATCTATTTTCTATCTATCTATCTATCTATCTATCTATCTATCTATCTATCTATCTATCTATCTATCTAACTAACTAGTATCTATCTATCTATCTTTCTTTCTTTCTATCAATAGATCTATCGATATATCTGCTATCTATCTATCTATCTACTATCTATCCATCTATCTATCTACTATCTATCTATCTAACTATTCATCTATCTATCCGTCCATCTATTCATCTACCTATCTATTAATCTATCTATTCATCTATCTATCTATCTATCTATCTATCTATCTATCTATCTATCTTTCTATCCATCTATTCATCTATCTTTCTATCTAAGTATCCATCTATCTATTCATCTATCGATCAATCTAGATATCTATGTATGTTTGTATCTATCTATCTATCTGTCTATTCATCTATCTATCTGTCTATATATCTCTCTATCAATCTATTTAACTAGTATCTATCTATCTATCTTTCTTTCTTTCTATCAATCGATCTATCGATCTATCTGCTATCTATCTATGTATCTATCTATTCATCTATGTATCTGTCTATATATATCTCTATTAATCTAACTAGTATCTATCTTTCTTTCTATCAATCGATCTATCGATCTATCTGCTATCTATCTATCTACTATCTATCTATCTATCTATCTATCTACTATCTATCTATCTATCTAGTACTATCTATCTATCTATTCATCTATCGATCAATCTAGATATCTATGTATGTATCTATCTTTCTATCTGTCTAAGTATCCATCTATCTGTCTATCTATCCATCTATCTATTAATCTCTATCTATCTATGTATCTATCTATCTATCTATCTATCTATCTATCTATCTATCTATCTATCTATCTATCTACGTCATTTTTTTCATTTTTTCTGTCATTAATGCAGTGATGGATTTGATATGGCTGCTAGGCCGGTAGTTTATATGCAAATATTTAAGTAATGAAAATTTTAGCTACAGAAACAAGGCTAGGGGTATCAGCGGAAAAAAATACATATTTCAACCGGAACACGCATTCGAAGGAATGAACGCTTTATGCACACTTTTGGTAACTATATGGTTACAGTAGTTATATATTTTTACAGTTTAAATGCTGTAAGCACTAGTCTATTTTGCTTCAATAACCTGATCATGATATACACGAAAAATGGGCGTGTCTTTTACATGGGGGTCGCGGTTTGAGTTTGGTTGCACACCGTTCCAACATTCGCCTCATGTTAAGAAAGTTAAATGCACGACAGTTGAAAAAGGTACAACTTATGGCATCTCCTGCAACATATTGGATTAACATACAAATGAGGCTAATGCTGTATTGAATGAGGCAGTCATTAGCGGGATTTGTTGCATTTAGCCATTTGTCCTATATTTACAATGTGTTGTCACATGTTACATGTCAGTATGTACTTAAAACATACTATCAGAGCCTGGCCTGGGATGGCAAATAGTTGGTCAAATAAATATCTCTAAATAATCTGAACAGTTAGTAAATAGCAAACTGTACCAGCTCTAACACTCAACCTGCATGACAATCTACAAACATGCGGGTGAGAGAATGTTTGAGTGTTGGCAAACATCTTTTGTAGTCCAAATGTCGCACGGCACAAACCAGGATGCTGACTTGGTATATTTGTATAATTAAAAGCTTCGGTTTCTGGCACTTTGTAATGGCATCTAGTAAAATTCATTTAATTTAAATTGTCAGCATTGTCAGCAATTCACCCGCGGGTCTAAATTCTGTGCTTAATGTAACAAGGACAAGAAGCAAATGGATTTGATCACTCTACGAATGGTAAAACATACACGTACATTATTGAAGACGGTGTCCTGTATGGCATTCGCCATTGGTAAGTAAATCTCAAGGTTCAAAAATTTTCCCCAGGTCTAAATTTACATGCATCGTGTATTTCACATTTGTACGAAAGTAAATGCCAGTGTGTATCTGTTGGGTTTTACCGCTGGTAATGGAGGTATTTAAAGGCATCCAATGCCATTTTAGGGCAGCAAAACTGGAAATATTCTGAATAAGGCAATCTTTATGATATTGACACATACTGCTTCACATTAGCAGATTTGAGTCATACTTCGGGCATTCAAAACTGTAGAAACAAGCCTCAAGTTGAGTCCTTTCTTTCTGGGTGGTGCCCCAAAAATCATCCCAGGTCAATATAAATTGAGACAGTGTGGCCTCATTGCAACTCACAATGTAGATGAATGACTAGAATATTGGATTGACAAACAATTTACTTTCTAAGCCCTAAAAACTGCAATGAAAGCTTTTAATTAATATAGTTTCGTAATATTTCCCATTGACTATGCAGAAATGCATCACAACAACACCAAGAATGTAAACAAACATGGCTGACAGCTGTGTTTTCTACTTTCTACTGAAACAAGCCTCAAGTTGAGTCCTTTATTTTCCTGGTGGTACCCCAAAAATCAGCCCAGGGCTCATTTTCAACTTTTGGGAACTTTTGCAACTTGAAGGTCAATATAAATTGAGACAGTGTGGTCTCAACTCACAATGTAGATAAATGACTAGAATATTGGCTTGAACAATAATTGACTTTCCAAGCCCAAAAAAACTGCAATGGATGCCTTTGATTAAGATAATTTCGCAATATTTCCCTATATTGACTATGACTATTGACCATATTGACTATGCAGAAATGCATTACAACAACACCGAGCGGACTCACCTGCAAAGGCTGCAGTCCCTGTACCGGGAACTGCGCAACGGATCCGCGTGTCGCGATCACTGCTCAAAGAAAAGTTTCAAAGAAGCAAAACAGATTTGAAGTACAACTGCCTATTTCAAAATGTTTCAATTATCAGAAAACGATACGTTAAATCTATAAAGATCTACTTATTAAGAACAGATATTGTTGAAAAGTATGTGTGGCAAGCCTTAGTTTTGTTGGTGTTTGTGCACACAATATGCCAAGATGGTGCTGCTTTGGAAAACAACAACTCTATTCTACTGTCACAACACACACACAACAACAGTTAGATAAATTTCCGCCTCTTGTTACGTAAGTGTCCTTTTAAACAATGATAAGTGCCTATTGCTGTTCACCTTTCTTTCCGCTTGTTCACTTGATTTTAATACGTTAAATCCTATAGATAAATTCAACTACATTCTCAGGGAAAATAACCAATGCAGTGTTCAAATAGGAGAATGTTTCGATCTTAGAGACCACATGTTATTGTTACGGCATACATATACTCATACATATACATATACATATACATGTACGTAAGATGACGTTATTCACACGTGTATTTAGCAAGTCACTGTCCTTTTTTGTTGTGTCAATAAAAAATCTTCTGTATTAACTATTATATACTAAAAAAGCAATACAATGTCTCATAGGAAGTAAAATGTAACAACTTACGACTCAGAACGACGAAAATTGCCGCTAGCATCATGGTGGCCATTTCGTGCAGGATCAGACAGGTACAATAACAAGCCTCTCCGGTCGAAGCCAGTTTCGGACTCCTGCCAATCAAAATTGGCAGTTCAACCAATGAAAGCATGGCAATCAACGGTCTGGCCAATGAGAGAGTGGGTGCATGTGCGTCATGTATTTGTACTTGTATGTTTCTAATTTGCGTTGCTACCTTTTGATGGATGTGGGTGGGGCTATACAATCGGTCAAATACCTTATATAAATGGCACATACTCACTGATGTCAGAGCATTTTAATTTCAAGAGATCAATAAAACTCCCCAAACGCTTACGTTTACAGGTTATTAGAGGTTTCTAACTTCACAATGCCCTGTTTACCAGAGAAACTGGTATTTAAACCATAAGAGATCAGACGTGTCCGGTTTGTTTGTGTGACGATCAGTTAATAAGTTGCATTGTGCAATCTTATAAGTATCACCATTTAAAAGAGGTTAGAGTTTGCCCACCTATGCTGAGTGCGGTATATAGGACTTCGGCTTTGCAAATACATACAAAACTTTAAGCCTTTCATGAGGATTTATTACGTTAGACTTATAAGTGCAGCCAGGTTCACGGGTCAACATTTATCTATTTCAAATGCATGACAACACAACACACAGACTTAGGCCACACCGACTTAATTTTATGGATGACATCCACGCGCGCATTGATTTCGCCTGTTATAAAAAAAAATCACGTCCACCGTGGCGATTCATAAGATATGCAAAAAGCCAGCATGTGCCGGCTTGTCGTATACGTCGCTAAGTACTTCCGCAACTTCACAATACCAGCTTTGTATTCCTGTGGATTAGTAGCAGTTTTATTTTCTGGCCGGAACTTTTTTTATTCGCCCGCGCGCACTAGTTATGGGGTCTTCGGAGGATGTCATCCATAAAATGAAGTCGGTGTGGCCTTACAGACAGCAATAGCTGACGTCGGGCGGAGTTAACATACAAACAATGTGGTGATTTCTTCTCCAATTTTACGATAGTCTTTCCCTGTCGTCGTTCGGTGAAGATCAATGCACTCCCTACTTCTAGGACACTATTTTCGAGAGATGATAAGCCGTAAAAAATCGTCAAAGTACCCCCGTCATGTTCAACCCCTAACCTTCAATGAGAGACACATAGCGGTTTTTGTTAAACTGCAGCTTATCTAGCTTCAACGCAAGGACAGGTGTAACGTTAATTCCCCTGTGTGACCGCGACCGGGATCAGAAACAAGTCGATACGATACAATACGATACGATACGATACAATACTAGATTGAACTATTGCTTGGCAGTTGTACATGGTACAAAGTATGGCATCAATAACAATGTGATCAATACAATCAAGTTTATTCTAAGATACTACTAGTGCAGGAATATGGACGTAAACGGCGTATGGTATGATATGAGTTAGGCGTTGCTATCTGTTACAATGCTTTCTCTTTTTTTTGCAATGCACTGCATATATATTGTCCTAAGCATGTAGATATGGAGCCGGGGCATGACATGAGTAGATTAAAAATGTCTATGTTTGTCTTTGGGAGAGGTTCACCAGTTTTACATGTGATCATTTTCATAAATTTTTGTCTATCTAAAGATACGATAAAAATGCCCTAGTGTGAATAGGTATAGAAGGTGACAGATGTGACGTAAAATGTCTTCTTGCTCTTGTAAAGTGTTAAGTTTATTGTCCTTAAATCACCCCCAGCTTAAGTCAAGCCGCGACTCCCGCAACGCTTTTCAATTATATGTCAAATCTAATTGTCTTCTTTAGATAAACATTTCGAATAGGAACATAATTATATTCCAACAGAATGAATTTTGAAGGCAGGTTTGTCAGACATTGACGTTTGTAAATTTATTTTCTGCCAAGGAGATTCAACACCTGATATAACGTCCTTGCTTTGACTTTATTGTTTGTAAAATAATTCATTCAGGAACTTGTGGCATTCAGGGGACGGGAGGGACAGATTTAGCACCCTCGCAAATTTACGTCTCTTCAGATTCAGATTTTTTTCAGATTCAGATTCAGATTTTATTGAATATCGACTGGCATGTCACATCAGTGCATGAATTATGTCGAATTATATTTACAACTTGTACTCAATTATTACAATAGATAGCATAAAATCTCACATGCATCTGCATAATTAGCGATAAAATACATCATAAAAGCTTATCACGTCAATGAGAACAGTTAAACATTCTAAAATCAGTATTACTAAAGAAGAATAACATCATAAAACCGCTATAAATGTATACAAGGATCAGGTTTTAGACAGCAGCTTCAACGCACGGGGTACAAAAGACTGTTCATGTCTTTTCGTTTTACTAGATGTTGAGGCAGTGACAGGTTTACCTCTACGCAGGTTGTAATTACATTGTGTCGGAGAGGATACAAAGTCAAGCAGAGGGCTATCAGCATCCTTCAGGATGTTCTGAATTGTGCGAAGAGTGACCTGATCTCGCCTTGTGGACAAAGAAGGCAAACTGGAATCCCAATGATCCTACAGCATCTCTTTTGCACACTTTCAAGCATATCTGAGAGGCGTTTGGGCAGGCCTCCCCAAACCGGGCTAGCATACTCTAACACCGTAATCTACACCCCGATTATAACCCTATGCAAAGAGTCATCAGGGTGTGGATGGACCGTGATACACTTAAAATTTGCCGTTCTGCGATATGGCATCGACCGTTTGAAAAGGAGACGACCGTTTATGAAACGGGAATGAGCAGCGCCTTTACCAGGCTTTCCCGACTATTCTTCGAAGGGAAGCATTAGAATTGTAATATTAGAAAAGGTTAATTTCCCCTCCTATTGGCGTTGGTAAATGAATCTACAGTGGCCAAATTAAATTCCCTTGGCCAATTGTTCTAGCAGAGCGGAGGAAGGAGCGGGGACAAAGCGTTCACGGATGGATTCCAATCTACAATTATTCTTCCTACTGGCTAAATTTCACTGCATTTTGAACCTGCGTTGAAACATTAGTCTGCTGGAGACTAGCCTGGAGTCCAGGCGTGTTTTCTCTAGTCCACCTTTCTACTGTTGACGCTTTGGCGGATCTAAATCTAACAGGAACTCCAGGCTACAATGTTCAAGTAAAGTAGGCATGGGTAGACAGAAGACGCACGGAAAGTTTCCACCAAAGAACACGATTTACATACCTTTTGTTTTCTACCTAACCGACTGTTGTTGAAATATATGGGTAAAAAGACTTTTCTAATAAGGCCATGTTGATTTGATTATATGGATGACATCCTCCTGGAGCCCCAAAACTGATGCGCGTGCGAATAAAAAAAAGTTTTGCAAAAAAAAAGTTCTTTTCATTATGAAATCTACGTGGTCATGAGGGTTGAGCAGATGGCAGAGAATATGGTTTGGCGAATAATCTAGTCTTCAAGTTCATTTCTTTACAATTTCGTCTTTTTTCGTTTGATTTTGGCATTCTACGACATTGGTATAGTTTTTATTAAATTTTTTTTTGTAACTTATGGTATATTTTTGCTCATTTAGCAACTGTTTTGTACGATTTACAGTATAGTTGAAAACTTTTTTTTTTTTGGAAACGGCCGAAAATTCATGCGCGCGCGGATGTCATCAATATAATCAAATCAACATGGCCTAATCTTTGAAGAAAATGCTTGCTTACGTCATGTCAGGGCGTGTTTTGTCAAAACCTGTTTACAAGCGACCTTCGTGTTAATTAGGGGTGATGCGCATGCGCGGCTGGCTTTGATGTCTAGATTAGTTCTGGTTGTTACGGACGTCTTGTGTTTACGTCCGGTTAACGTCCCTGTTCAAGGTCGTTTAGCTTAGTGCTATGAGAGATGCACAGAAGATGCCATTTTGCGGGAGGGGGTTTAATACATTGTAACTCTTCTAGAAGTTTAAGGACCTTGAGCACAGTGATATCGTTAAGAGAAACTAGAATAGGACCATCCATGTATACATGAATGAATACATTGAGTCGGTCATATTTTTATTCAAACATTTTCTGCAACATCCCACCATGAAATGGACCGTTCCTTTGTATGGTTGATGACCAACGCACCAGTACTTAATTAACACTGCATAGAACCCCGGACCGACTCGCTCCTACACTACCCCCCAGAGGAGCAGAGATGTCGCCGTTACCGCAGTTCCCTGTAGCCTTCCAGGCTCGTCCGCAGTTCTTTGCTGCGTTCCTGGTCCTACTGCTGCCCAGGCTGAGCCCGCAGGCGGCCACGGTCTCTCCCGACAACCCGGAGATACTTCAGCTGCAAGAAACGTCCAGTAAGCCGGCTTTACTACAAACTGTAACACCACCAAATGCCTAGGTCACATTTTCAAACCGGGGCCAAGACGGACTGTTTGTATGAACGAAAAACTAACAATTTATATCAAGAATATACAGGAATAGTGCCCATGATTATTAATGAAAACTTTTTATGTGTTTTCTTGGCTTTTATATCGTCCTTTTCGTTCCGTAAGACTGCCCGGCCGGGCCCCGGTTTGACAATGTGACCCCAGCCTAAAACAGTAACTCCTGAGTTTTTGTTGTTGATGCAGTTCTATGAACTTGGTTGACTAGGCTCATTCGCATGACGAAGCTGACTGAAAAGCCGCCGCGGCTTGAAATGCGTCGAGATTTGAGCGGGTCAAAACAGAGGGAATAGAAGGTTGTTCATTGCGTGTTGTCTCCTTGTGAGATCTATAGATTTTCTTTTTTCTGGAAAATTGGAGATTCTATAATTTTACATTCTGCAATTCGAAAGTCTATCTGCAAATTGCAGACTGGAGACGGGTATTTTGAACACTGAATGCATGAAGTGTGCACGTGCGGGAGAGCGTAATGTGGTCACCGGATCGTAAAAGGCAGACATTCTTAAATATATATATATATAAGTAATCATTTTTTTCGAGTTGACGGTAATTTTCTTTCGCGATTTGGGTTGACCTGGGGTTGACGGTAAAAAAAAAATTGAGATGGTTAAAGCCCAGGAACCTACATCTACTAAACTAAAGCAAGCCAGTGGTTATTTTCCTGGGTAGACTGAAGCAATCATGCATTGCAAAGAATGACCTTGTTATTGTGTACAATGTATGACAGATAATATGATTACTAGGTGGTCATGGTATGGGGCTATCAAATTCTAAACATAGGTTTAACTGGTACTATGTCTGGCAGAATGTTGAATAGAACTACTGACTAAGAGCTAGAACACCTCATATGTGCTAAGCTACGCTATACTATGTTTATTAAGAGCAGATGTATATGTACTATACTGGTTTTATGAGTACTACACTTCACAGAATGCCCACTTAATTACTGGCTAAAATCTGCTAAAATTCTACATATAGGTGCTATGATACGCTATACTACATGTATGTAATTGATAAAGTATACAATGAGGTCCTGAACGTATATCCACTTTACAGCTTTTCATGTTTTCAGTTATTCCAAGATTCATTTTTTGCATGGCAGTTAATTTAAACTCGTCATCTTGCAGGGCTAGGATAATTACACTCTTATGGTACAATCAAACAAACAAACAAACAATCTACATAAATATGACTTTAAGAACCTTCTTGAATGTTCAGAACTTCTGTGTTCACCACAGGAATGCTGGAAACAATGCACTACCAAATGAAGACCCTCCGACGTTCACTCGGCCAGCTGACGGAAGTGAAGGTGTGTTCGCTTGCGTGCAGTGTGTTTCTGCATTAACAGCGCAAATAAAGATAATGTATAAGGAGAAAAGCTAAGATCATGGTCACATTTCCAAGCCGGGGCCCGTCTGGGTTGTTTGCGTGAACTAAAAATAAACAATTTGTACTAAGACTATACACAAATAGTGCTTATGGTTAATTTTCTAAAACGTTTTTGTGTTTTGCTGTCTTATATCATAATTTTCGTTCCAGACGACTGCCCGGCCGGGCCCCGGGTTGGGAAATATGGGGTACTAGTACATGTCAGCGGGAACATTAAAGTTTAACTATTCTCTAACCTGTAGTCTCTGATTTAAACAATCAATATTCTTTGATGTATTTCTGTGAGCTGACCGTCATCAAACGCGGCCTATTTGTTACATTGTTTCTGCTAGTATCCTCTTGCAGAGCAAATGTGTAGCAAGTTAACGCTCGTCTATATGTAGCAAGCCGCTGAAATACATTAAAGAATGTTTAGATTCTTAGAGACTACTGATTAGAGAATAGTTAAACCTTATTATTCCCGCTGACATATATCTGTACGTAGTTTGCCGCATACATATATTCTGTACGTAGGGTGACGTTATTGCCTTCGTGAGAAGGTTATAATATCAGTTTGCTGTGGGGTGGGGCATTGTGGATTTAGTGGAATATCTCTTGAAGGCATGGCTCGACGTTCATAATCTTTGGCAGGCAGGTTACCGTTGGGCAGACCAAGGCCAAGTGCAACAATGGGCCTCGTTGGGGGGGGGTCCCTACGTCACTGCAGTGGACCTTTTTTGTTTGTCGCTTGTTAGCAGGATAACTCAAGTATATGCAAATGGCTGTTCAGGATTTTTGGTAGGCACATTACCGTTGTAGAGACCAAGGTTAAAAATGGGCCTCGTGGGGGTGGGGCTCGGGGGGGGGTGTCCCTACTTTACAGACGCACATAAATACTGTGTACTTTCTCCTTTCTTGCTTCCAAAATTACCCGGTATTCCTTTTCCTATGTCAACATTTATCGCATTATGACGTGACACTATAGTTATTTTTTAACAATATAAAACTTTACAAAATTAATTTTTATACCGCGGCCAAAAGCAAGGGCAGCAGACAAACTCTTTTAAACCTAAGTTAAGTAAAGAACTTTGTGTAAAGTGCCTTCCAAAGGGCACAGTATTCGTGTTCAGTACCTTTCCCAAAGGTACAGGATCAGTGCCGTGGCTGGATTTTAATTCGGGACCTCTTGGTTCTGAGTCGATTGCGCCGTCGTTGCGCTACACGACCCCACTGGGAACCAAATATTAAGAAATGAGGTGGATACGTACTGTTGAGGTTAGGCCATGTTGATTTGATTATATGGATGACATTCGCGCGCGCATGAATTTTCGGCCGTTTCCAAAAAATAAAAAAAATTTCAACCATACTGTAAATCGTACAAAACAGTTGCAAAATAAGCAAAAATATACCGTAAGTTACAAAAAAATAAGTAAAAACTATACCAATGTCGTAGAATGCTAAAAATCAAGCGAAAAAAGATGAAATTGTAAGGAAATGAACTTGAATATTAGATTATTCGCCAAACCATATTCTGTCCCATTTGTTCAACCCTCATGACCACGTAGATTTCACAATGAAAACAACTTTTTTTTTTCCAAAACTTTTTTTTTATTCGCACGCGCGCATCAGTTTTGGGGCTCCCTGAGGATGTCATCCATATAATCAAATCAATGTGGCCTTACTACACAATCGTACCTCCTGTCGTTCTGTTCTGTAGGCAGTCGCCTCGCGGCTCAACGACTTGTTGGCTCATCAGGAAGAGTTGGCGGCCCGTCAGAACGAGACAGCTGTTGTCCTGAAAGAGTTGGCGGGCCGTCAGAACGAGACAGCTGCTGCCCTGAAAGAGTTGGCGGCCCGTCAGAACGAGACAGCTGCTGTCGTGGAAGAGTTGGCGGCCCGTCAGAACGAGACAATCGCTCGACAAGACGAGCGGTTCGCCGGTAAGATTCACCCTCCAGCAGGCCTTACTAAGTGGTTATGGACTGCAGGATTCGGCTAAAATTGGGTCAGGTGGAGACTAGATAAGATTGACATCTGCCTGTAATTGTCATGTATGTAAACATAAGGTGTTAACTGGCTGAGTGTGTAATAGTAATGTTTGCTAACTCCAGATAAACATCTAACACCAGGTTAAACCTGTATGTTGTGTAACTTCATATGCATATTCAATACTAGTATAGCAAAACGGCTTCTAGGTTGCACCATCCATCGTGTCAAGTCACGTGAGTGCGAACACTTGTTACTACGGTACGTAAACTTTAAAGGACAGCTTGTGATATCGTCTTTAAGGTGACATGTCATGTAGCATTTTTCCCCGTCCTCCGGAACTGTCTACCGGATTTCCGCTGCTCGGTGCTCTGCCGGACTAGGCTGCTGGCCGTGTCAAAAGACACTTTTCCGGACGGCAGCATCACGCAGCATCACGGCATCTTCTATCCTCCGGAACTTTTTACCAGTACACTGATATCATGTATTATTTTCCGTTTTCAGAGTTCTGCCGGACTAGGAAGATGGGAATGTCAACCGGTACCATTCCGGACAGCAGCATCACGGCGACTTCCGTATACGACAATCGGTTTCTGGCGAAAATGGGGAGAGTTGGAACCAACCGCAAGGGGTGGCTAGCAAGGTCACTAAATATGGACGCCGAGTGGATGAAGGTAGCTATGAGCCTGTAGGCTGTCAGGGGATCTTATAATTTTGATGGAAATGACGTACTTGACGACGATGACGTACGTATCAGGACGTGACGTAAATGACGTACGTGTTATCACACGGCGTTCTGATCAGTTACCACACGGGCCTGCGAAAGTTCCATAGAATATTTCGACCACCTTTCACGTTCATGAAAATCGGATACATGATTCGAAGGTTGAAATGAAAGTTAGTACTCGTACATGTAGAATTTACAAGACAGTGTATTCCGTATCAGCCCGACTGCGGGTCGACGTCGGATGACCTTCCGGCGTTTTGCCGATTCGATTAGGTGATGCAGAACAAAACGTGTTGTGTGTATTTCAAACCTGAAGCTAATAACCTGCGCAACTACAGGTGGACCTGGGGCAGGAGAGTCGGGTGTATGGTGTGGTCACTCAGGGGCGTCCGGACTACAACCAGTGGGCGCGGACCTACAAACTGTCCTTCAGCCAGGATGGGCAGACCTGGACCACGTACGCCAACCTCGACGGATCAGACAAGGTCAGATCTATTGTGCCCAGAATCGTGCCTATCTTGTTCTATGCTTAAATGGGTTAGGCACGGTTCTGGATAGTTTCAAAGATTTGCTTCAGGTGTGGACTGGATCCGGACTGAACAGGCTTAAACCGGATTCTGGTTGTAAAAAGCCCCACCCTTTCTACAGAACCGTCACCGACTCTAAGAGAGATTTAGGCTACTTATATTTACGTCTACTTTCAAATTGCTTTTTATTATTATTTTTACAGTATTAGATTTTGTCCTCGGCTGCCAATTTCATACTGTCTTTGCGAATTTGATACTGACTTATCAATTACAAACCTATATTTCTGATTTGATACTGTCTTATATGTAGTCACCAAAATACCTGTTTGGTGCCTATCTACATTCCTGAATGAGGTTTACTAGGGTTAATTGTTTATTAGGGTTAGGGTCAGGCATGGTTCTAGATAATCGTTTCTTATCCCCAGTCATGGACGTGCGCGGACTATCTAGAACCATACTTGAGGATAGTTATAGAGAAAGCACGGATCTAGATCCGCCAGAACCATCCAGAACCGTGCCTGAGGTTCGTTATAGATAAAACATGGATCTAAATATACGTGTAATATCTAGCCAGGGTACCATCATGGTTAGTTTACGTCTGCTCCTACAGAAGCTACCACGACTGTGTGAGCGGACGTAAACTAACCAGGATGGTACCCAGGCTATGTAATATCTGGAACCGTGCCTTGGGATGAAACACGTTTCAGTACATTAACCCTCAAACACCCGAACGGGGTCCATTTGGACCCCAGACGTATATTTTTATGTGCTATTTGATTTTTTTTATTCTAAAAAAAATTAGATCGGCACAAATTTGTAAAAATAACAACTGAAGTCTGATGTAAGACCGTCTGGGGTCCAAACGGACCCCAGCCATGTATTTGCACTTTCCTACACACGAAATTGTTCGGATGTCCTCAAAATGTCTTCAATGAAGCATTATTGCTTTAGCCTCGGTCACAACTCGCCGTACGTGCTTCTGCGTGCTGTCTACGTGCAAAAACGTGGGCAAACGTAGGGCATCCGTGCGTGGTGAGTACCACCTCCGTACGGAATCCTACGGATTTGGGAGCACGCAGACACGCCGTAGAACCTTAAGTGCATGTAATACTTTTTCTACGTGCGGTCTGCGGATTTACCACCCGTGCGTGCGAGTACGTGCGACGCGCGTGCCCCGTACAGCCTATGAGCGTGCAACGTACGGACTCCGTGAGTCTAACTTCACTATTCTCACGTGCAATTGCTGTACGGACAGCGCACGAAGCACGTGAGTGCCACGCACGGTGCTTGCGTCATCCGTGCTTACTCCTCACTTCCAAGTTGACCTGCTCAATGACCACGCAGAACACACGTGCACCATACCAGGTGCTCCGCACGTGCAACGCACGTGCAACGCACCTGATTTCTACAGTATATAAAGACGACTTGACGGGCGACTGCCAACTCGTCTCCAAGATGCCCAGGAAGGCTCAAAAGAAGTCTACCAGACAAGATCCAAAGAAACGGGCCGCGGAAGACACCAGGGCGGCTAGTGATGATGAAGTTAACAGGAGGTGCACGCACTTACAACGTGCGAGTGAGTAAGGAAATCGTGCGCACGCCGCACGTGTAGGTACGGCCTGTACGCGGCAACGTGGCAATCGCACAGAGATCGTACGTTGCAAGCACGTGCAACTCACTTACCACTTGCGCAACGTACGATGCACGCAACCGCTGACGGCCAGGCGTGTCGTGCAGACCACGTACGTACACCTTGCGAGTGACGTACTCCCTCGGCCGGCCACCCTACGTTTGCAGAAAAAACGTAGCAGACGTAGCCACGACAAAAACGTACGGACAAAAAGCACGCACGGCGAGTTGTGACCGTCGCTTTTGATACTATGCAGTTTGCCAAGTACCCTCCACCTCAGGAATTATTTCATCAGGTTTTCAGAAGTTTGACAATTTGACAATCATATGAGGTCAAAGGTCAACCCCATCCATGTTCATGCCTGAAGGCCTCATCCAATTTTTGCATAAATTATGATAATGAGCGGGAATTTTTTAAACACTTAATCATGCCAAAATAAACGTCTTAATATTTTTAACCAATATATGTGCAAAGGTCACTGAAATAATGCAAAAAGGAATATAAAACTGAAAGAAACCAAATGGGGTCCATTTGGACCCCGTTCGGGCATTAACGTCACAAAAAAATTTCCGATGTTTGAGGGTTAAAGCGAATCCCATCTCCTTACGTGTTACCTCAGGTGTTTGCCGGAAACTATGACCGGAGTTCGCCGGTGTATAACTTCTTGGAGAGGCCTGTGACTGTGCGGTACGTCCGGTTCCACCCTCGCACCTACACCTCGCGCCCAGTCATGCGGGTGGAGATCCTGGGCTGCCCCACCGACATGCTGTAGGTGTTGGCACTCACGTGACTGTGACGTCATCACTGTCTGCCATGTTGGATGATCAAAGAGAATATTTTGTAACATGATTTTTCTTCACAAAGTAAGCTGTATCAACACTGCACCATAGCATAGTGCCACTTGGAGTGAACGTGCTAAAGTATTACGCCGCACAAGCCTGTTTTAACCCTGGAAACTTGTCAAAACTTTGTTTGCATTCGTGTGGTGTGTATTTTGTGATGTTGTCATAGAATCAATGCGCCTAATATAGACTGATAGCGCGGTGACCATGAATGTTAGAAATGTGGAATAATAATTTCAATGTGTTTAAAGGTGATGGTAAAGTGGTAATCGCATCTACTCAAAATATTTCCCATTGTCAACGGAATATTACATCATGTCATTTTAAACGATGTAGAAATGTGTTTCTCACATCAGTTCTTGACAAGGAAGGTTGGTACTGCGTCCATTGCTTGTAATACTTTTCAAATTGACATATATAAGAACTACATATTGTAAGGTAAACACTACCTAAGTGATATGTAACCTATTAACCCTACCTAGACCGGGCTTTTTTTGACATGGGGGGACC